ACCCCCCTTCACTCCAGGTTGCTATGGTATTCAAAAGCAACATGCATGATGTTTGTCTCTCTGCTAAATTATGCCTCAATGTTTTCAGCTCTGCATGCTTTTGTGACACATTTCCAGATCCTATTAGTGGAGTTAAAAAAACCATCAAACTCAAAGGAGGCTTATGATCTAAGAGAAACGTCTCCTGATCTCTTATCCTCATTCAGCTCAGGCCTAGAAATCCCTGACCATAAAAAATCATCAGTGCTGACGTTGTAGTAAAACGTGCTAAGTGTGAGCTCTGTGAAACTGAAGACATGAGACCCTCTGATCCTTATTTTACCTGTGGTTATTGTAAATCAGCAGAAAAGCGCCCACAACCACGAAAACAAGCATACAGACTGTAGCTCTCTTTGTTAGCTATTCCACAGAGAGCTTCGGATCTGAATCAACCCTTTGAGTCCATCACAGAGAAGGAGCGAGACTAGCCTCGGACTAAATGCCAATTTTCACTCTCTTGAGGCGTTTTCCATACTTGAAGCATTTGTTGTGTTTTTTCATGATAAGACTTGCCTCACATGCCCCTTCAATGTAAAGTCCGGCACACAGTAACCCATTTCTAATTTCTGTAAGTCACTTAACATATCTTTACTGACTAAGTATAAAACACATTTTACTCATATTGATGGAATTTATGATGGTTTCCAAGTTCACAGGGCAGTGATTGTTTTATTTGACCAACACCTTGCAGCTGCACTGTTTACCAAGAAGAAATTAATTTTTTTATGAGGATTCTCATGTTGCCCATGGTCTTGTGAAAGTCATACAAAATGTGTCCTGGCTGTGGGTCAGTGGTAAAGTCTGTCGTCTGTCAATTGGAAGACTGCCAGTCTGATTGCAGCTCCTGCAATCCACATGTCGCAGCATCCTTGGGGCATAACACTAAATCCCAAATTGCTCCCGTTGGCATTAACATCAACATGAGAACGTGATCTCCACAGATTCTGTCAGGCCCCTGTAACAGTACAGTAACCCCTGTACTACCCCCGATGAGCCCTATTCAGACTGCTGTAACAAGGCGTTATACTTGACGCCCCTGTGATGTTTTGCCTTCAATATGAATGTTACAGAGGCATGATGGGGGGGACGAAGTGATCCTCTCTCTGTTATCAACTTAAACTTGTGAAATGAGACATTGAATAAGATTTACATGAGACTTCTTTCAGACGTTTGGATAATTTGCTCCCCCTTTTTAGTTTACTAAATGACTTTAATATAGATGCTCCTGTGGGCTGTTTGAATTGTAGCCTATAGGTGAAGACAAATAATGAGAATATAAATGTTTAAGTTTGGCTGAAAAACTTTTTTTTGGGTCTGTTTCTTGTTTTCAGTCAAATTCTTTTAATCCACTGTTTTTAAAAAGGCACTGGATTGTTAAAAATTCTACTTCAGCCAAAAAAAAGAAAAATGCAATTCAATGATGAAACCCTCCATTTGTAGTCATTCATATATGCTAAACGTAGTCTTCCCACTTTGGAGAGATGAATGTGGAGTCATAAAAGAAGCTTGATTTATGCCTGGAATCCCGCAGTAACAGTAGACATTCTGCTTTCCACCACACTCAGCACATTTTCACAAGGAGACGTCCTCTTCAGCTTGGTTCACTAACCAGCATCAGCTCAGCTTACATTTGGGTCAAAACTTATTTAACGCAAACAAAAAAGCAAATACAGTATGTTTCCAATTCAGAATTGTAACAGTGAGTTGCATGACATCTGACTGAGAATAAATACTGTCATAAAAACATTTCAAAACACATCATTGTCGTATTCCAACTGTTTTTATAGGCATATAAAATCCAATGTTAACAAGAGGCTCCTTCTGCTGAATCCATTTAGAAAACTGTATTCAAAACAACTTTCTGTTGATATCGTGTCTGTCCAAATCATGATACGTCAGCAGCCTGGCACAAGCTGCGATTACATTTCACCTCCATTCAAGTCATATTCTGATACTGTAACATAAACTGTTTAATTAAACTTTAAAACAAGCACTGATTGTGTTCATGATTGTGCAGAATGGTGCTTGTTTTTTATTCTTTTATAGCGTTGTTATTATGGCTGGTTTGATATTCTGCTCATGTGGCAGAATGGTTCACTTGTCAAACAGTGTGACCTTGAGGTTTGTGTGCATAATGAGCAGTGCCAGGTGTCAGCGTGATAAACAAAAAAAGTGAACGCACCAAGCAAAAGATCCTGCTGACTCTGAATGTAGGGCTTTCAACAGAGAAACAGACTTCTTATTACTGAACTAAACCTAAAAAAAAGCCCTGACATTTCCCCTTGCGGGGATCAATAAAAGCAAATCTTAATCTTAACACTGTCATTCTCATTTCAAATTTGTCTTAAGATGCTTGTCTTAGTTAAATTTAAAACTCGTGAAACATTTGAGCAATACATTTGGATTTGTAACTCAAAGAGGTACAATACAGCATGACCTGTTCCAATACTAATCCAAATTCATCAGCTTTCATAAACTCTTTAAAAGGCTCCTCTTTTCCTTCATGAAATTTGTGGATTCAAAATGGACTTGATACCCTTGACTTTAGTTCCAAGTATGAGTCAAACCCTTTCCAAGTTGATCTAAAATGTTCCATTACACGTTACAAAGGCATCTTTCACTTTTCCTTTTAAGTGTTCTTAATGCCCATTTCGTTGGGTGCCAAAGCTAATGCTAGCATGCTGACCAGTCACAATGACAATCCTGTTATGCAGATTTTATTTCTTGAAACAAAAGGCGGGAGTAGCTCAGTCTGTAGGGACTTGGGCGAGGAACTGATGGGTTGTATGGAAAGTATGGAAGTTGTGTGAGTGGTTACTGGAGAGGTGCCACTAGTCCACATAGCCTACTGGGTGCTGCCGAGCTGTCCTCGAGCAAACCACAAAGACCTTAACTGCTCAGGTGCTCGCTCTGTGTATGCAGCTCCCTTAAATTTCTCTGAAAAACTGTCCTTACCTTGGCACGTTAGTGATGTTTTACACAGATTCATTTTTGGGCAATTTGCCTATTTTTAATAGTACAGTGGAAAGCGCAGGGAATGAGGAGAGAGAGAATGACATGCAGGAGTCCCAGGTCAGACCTGAACCCAGTAGGGCCTGCTTGGAGGACTTTATAGCCCCTGTGCAACGGTTGCGATCAAATGCTAGACCATCAGCACCCCATTTGTTCAAGTTTTAACATGTTCTTTTACCACTATCTTTTTTTAATGCTAACATATGTAAATTAGCACTCATGCTGGTAAAAAAAAAAAAATTCTGGTAAAGGTATTGCGCATGTGTGAAAACAACTCCACGGCAGTATTTTCAAATACATCAAAAACCTCACATCTTATCAAATGTATTCATCTTTCAAGCAAAATAATAAGACCTGAGATGCTCGTTATGAGTAAAACAAATCTGCCAATGGGGCAGGCAAATGTTACCTAAATTTAAGTTTGTTAAATTATAAGTATTCCCCTCCCTTGGTCTAATTTGTTTCTTGCCTTAATCGGCTGAACTACACCAGGAACAACATCCTCATCTGTTTCTTGTAATCCTATCACACTGTTTCTGTTGTACTTGGCTGCAGAACAGGGAAAAAAAGTCAAAGAAGCAGTTCCTCATGCTGTCAGGAAGTTACCATCGGGTTTTCTGGTGTGTGCGAGTCAAACGTGTCTGTGCATGCAGATCTGAGATTACAGTATATATAGTGTGCATCTGCAGCTGTCAGCACCTGCATGAGCCAGGCTTTAATGGATGTGCATAAGAAGAGAAGAGGTAATGACAACATCCACACTAAAGTTTTATTAATGTTTATTTACAGTTTTGTTGGGATCCATATACAAACATGAATAATTTATCCATAAAAAAAGACAACTTACAACGCGGTACTGGAGTTTTTAACACAATGGAGTATAATTTTAAGAAAACTTGGAACAATGGGTTGAACCAACCCATACCTGCTGTTACTTAACAATCTAGAAATATGCTTGAAATGCAGTCCAGACAAGTACCATGGCTGTATAACAATGTTGCACTTGCACATCAAGGAAGAACAATGAAAAGGAGAGAAAGGCGGAAATGTTCACATATTGCAAAGGTGGTGGCCCTGTGATGAAATGTAAGACGAGGAAAAGGAAAATATATAACACCCTGTGTTAGAGACGTCACTTTGTCAGTGAGTCATTACAAGTTAATTCAATAGACGTTAACATTGTGCAGAATACACTTTGTTGTGCAGTGGATTTAAGGCATTTTCACATCATTGAGGTCTGCTAAAAAACAAATATGGGACCAACAGTGTTTACTCCAATGGCTTGAACAGAGAGACATGATCTATTTCCAGAGAAGCCCTGCCGTCTTACTATTCAGAGCAACACTGTCTTAAGTTTCTGTGAGCAAGTTAATGTGTCCAAAAGGCCGCGAGTGAGCAGGATAAGGACGTGTCGATCTGGAAAGCTTCAGACATTATGTTCTGGTCGTTAAGTTTTACAGTTTTCTGTTCACATGAAATAAGGGGAATACTGTACAGTTAATGGGATCACCAATACTGCCGATGTTATTACTCATTACTAAAGTCGAGTGAGTATTGATCTTCTGCAGTTTCACCTTGGCTGCCTGTGATAGGCGGGTACTCCAGTCATTCTTGAAAGTGCAAGCCCCAAAAGGCAAACATTAAAAGCAAGGCCACGTCCTGAGTAGAGCCGTGTTTGTGGCTACTGATGGGCTTTGAGTCAATATTTACATGACAAACACAATGAAGTGAAAGGGTGAAAAAGAAAGAGACGAATAGTGAGGATATTGACGCTGTGAAAGTTTCCTTTCCCATTATGCACTGCTATGGTTAGGGGGCTCAGAAGCCACAGAGTGACACTTTAAATGTTGCCAGTAAAATAACAACAATTGAGCATGAGTCCACATAACTAGTTTGTGTTCTGAGACGCCTCTACACTGTCACAATGGGATGATTGTTTCAAAATCAGATTTTCTTCTTTTTTTTTTTTTGACAAAAGGAAAGAAGTCTTGGAACAGAAGTTAAAAGGCAAAAAATATTGGTTTAAAGAGTCTCACAAGCTTTCTAGGTTGGCTATGGACTCCTAAGTTGTTGCCAATGCATCACCCATGACCTCTAGTGCAGTCACAATTATATTGCAGACAGCCAAAATAATCAGCAATCACAGACACAAGTTATCAAGGAGTTCACAAAAGAAACATATGAAATGAAAAGATGGCTCTTAATTCCCCTTCAGTTTTCTTCAAGGACAAATGGCTCAGGTTTAAAAAGACAATCAGCACTGAAATTGGACTTTAAACGGTCCGTACTTGGTGGAATTGTGCAATGGAGGCATATAAAACCGATGTAGCGACTGAATAAAAAGGCTACAATGTCCTTCATTTTAATAAATACTATAAAAACACCAATATGGTGAATAAGCAAAAAAGAAACTATGGGGAATCACACTTTCCCCCGTATAACTTCTTGTTAGCCTCAGAGTAGAAAAAAAGTACTCATTGAAAATAGTAATTGGTTTGGAAATAAAATAAATGTTAGGCACATAGTTTCTAAAAACCGTATAAAAAGACATAAATAGAGCAGATGTTAAATACTCATAGGGTTACATTTCATGCTCATTAGTCCATTTTCAACAACAACAACTAAATTTTGTTCAACAGTTCATGGGAATTTGATATTTAAAACACTCAAAAGTGATGTGGATTTTCACTTCTCTGTTAAGAAAAACAACATTCATTTGAAATTTGATCATGGCTTTTCAGTCTTTTGTTATCAGACTCCTAAAAGTGCAATGGGACTTCTGATACTCTTTCAAGAAGTTCACATTGGCATACTTATACTTAAAAACAAACCCAGTCAACAAGTGAAGATCAGGATTCTGTGTTTTCTTCCTTTGCATATTCCTCAACAAGTTTCTCATAGGAGTGGCTGTGCTCTGAACCGTCACTAGTGAACACAGACTCTTCAGATTCGGAACTCTGCTCTTCCTTAGAGTTCATTTCAATGTTTTCATCACATGTAGTGATGGATAGCTTGGCTTTGGAATCACCATCATCATCCTCGTCGTTGTCGTCCTCTTCTTCCTCCAAGTTGTTGCCGAGAAAGTTCTCCTCATCTATAAAAGTAATGTTAGCATTTTGTATTGTTAGGGGATGGTACTCTTTGGAGTCCCACGGCCTTCGACCACTGGCTCCACAATCTCCCGCTCCTCCATTCTCAAGGTCAACGTCCTTGTCAAGCTGGTTTTCATACATTTGGTCCTGGTCTAGTTCTAGATCACCCTCTACTTGGTCCTCTGTTAGCAGCAAACCATTGTCCGAGCCCAGGAGGTAGTTCTTGGACTTTGAAAAAGCCACAGTGACACGGTCACTGAAACTATAGCGTCTCTTTTGGCGTGGAGAACGGTCAAGACTTAGGATGGTGTGACCATTAAACATGGGAGCATCATTGCAACTCTTGGAACGATTAGTGTCTTTGGATTTCTTGATTATGTTGGAACTGCCATTGGTGGTTCTGCTGTCTTTTTTGGTGCCGATCTGTTTAATCAAGTCATTGTAGCCTTCCTGCTTCTTGGACAGAAAGCTAAAGATGTTGACGTCATTAGGAGTGGGTGGCAAACGAAGCGCAGCCTTCTGAGACTCTTTGTAGTGCCTGAGCTCTTCCAGAGATAGCTTACGAAGCTTGCGCCGTTTCTTCAGCGCCTTATGGGCCTCAATCACCATTCGCACTTTCCAGTTGAAGAACAAGGAAAGCCAGGCCAACCCAAGATAGATCCAAACTTCCACAAAGTAACGGTACAAAGTTGGGTACTCTTTATTTGGTTCGACACCTGTAAGGACAAACAAAACAGTCAAAGGTCATTTCAATCCAAAGTTCTTGCTTGTTTTGAAGTGATTGATTTAATTAAAGGAGACATCCAACATATGCACCACAATGGCCCTGTTATCTGTGTACAACTTGGTCACAATTCAGTTGTTGAATGACATCCAAGGCAATCAAGTCTTACATCAATGATTGTGAGGATTGGTATAGAGGATTTCTTGTTTAAGTACGTTGAATCAAACATTTTATTTCTCATCTTACCTGCGACCAAGTCCCCGAAGCCAATGGTGGTCAAGGTAACAAATGAGAAGTACAAGCCGTCAACATATGACCAACCCTCCTGGGACATAAACACAAAAGGTGGAAGAACTAAATGGACCAGCACTCCCCAGAGCAGGAAAATAGCTGTGCAGGTAAACTGAGCCTTTCTCTGAAAAAGAAAAGAAGAATAACAACTTCAGGTGAAACCACAGCACTATGCAGGTACTTTTCCAGGTAGAGAAAATAGGCTCATTTAAACTTACCAGTGAGAATCCTTTTTTGGTTAGAAACTGTCCCAGGTGCTTGGCACGACCACCAAAGAACTTTCCCAGCTCACTGATCCAGGTAAGACACAAAGGCACACCAAAGAGTCCGTAGAAGATACAGAATACACGGCCTTCTGATGTTTTAGGTGAAATGTTTCCATATCCTGTAGGAATGAAAAGGGGAAAACAAATTGAAAACCATTATTTCAAATATGCATCTCTTTAGCATGGCTTTCCAATAGGAGAATCAAATTACAAAAAATATGCCACATAGCTGGATTATCTCAGTGCAAGTCCACCATTTATAAACCTTTTGGTAATATTTTTGATCTACCTAATGAAACCAAATGAGTCCCAAAAGTTTTTGAACTCCACCTAAAAGCTCATAGCAAATTTTTCCAACCACTTCAACATGTCGATCTTGCATTCCCCCAAACATTAAGCAAAGGTGACAGAAATTCAATATTTTTTGGCTCCCAAAAGATCTACCATTGGTAAAAATCCAAAAGTACTTACCGATAGTAGTGATAACAGTGGCGGCAAAGATAACAGCATTAGGCCAGTTCCAGTTGTTGAAGGTCTTGCTGCCAGTTATCGTGACCCCTTGGCCTGCTGCATCAGACACCGCCTGAGGAGAAAGGAAACAAGGACACGACTGAGTATGAACTTGATTTTCACGTCAAGACAAATGACTGGATGATGAACATCGAACGATGGCTGCCATCGACTAGAAGTTATATAAGAGTCTAATCTGGCTAAACCAAAAGAAGACAGGAAATGTGTCATGTGTAAACTCCATTTCTTCCACCACATCCTTCCTGCGATATGTTGATGCTATCTCCAATGGTACTGATGAGCTGAAACGACACTCAGGCGCCCTTGGGAATCACTTTTAACCTGAGGGCTATATTGTTCTAACCAGTGCTTACACTGATAGGGAAACAGGAAAGCAAGTGCTGCATCCCTAAACATCTATTTCATAATGCCATGATTACGCAAGGATTAAGAAGCTCCAGGTGTTTTTCAGTGGCTGCTCTGTCCTAATGTTTTCCCCCTTTAAAAAAGAGTCAAACTTGCACTAAAAGATTTAAAATATCAAAAGATATTATGGTGTGCACAACCAACTGGTTATAGTTTCCCTGAAACCATCAAGAGCAAGGGAAACATTCTCGGATTCTTGCAAGGGAGTTTAAGAGTTGACATCCGACAAAGCAACAAAAAGCTTAATCAATCATCCTAAACCATATGTGTGCTTGAACAGCCACAACAGAAACTGAAATGCCCCTGTTGGGTATTCAAAAACACAAGTCCATCTCCAAATGTGCTCGAAGGGGGAAATGTGCAGGGGTTGGCAAAATTCACATAAGCCATGAAGTACTGGAAGATGCATGGTTCCTTAATAATAGCAGGTCTGTGACAGTCCTGCTCTATAATTACCAGCACAAGGGGGGGCATTCTTTTGTGTGCTGAAACAACACAGCTCCTCTGTTGGGCTTTGGGATGACAGGCCTGATGACCAAGTTTGTGTTGAAACCATGACTAGAAATTAAAGAAGCAAAACCTCACTGTCCTGCTTACGCACTTTCACATTTGACAGTCAGCAGTTTCTGTAATTACTGGTTGTATTTACATGCATGGGCTAACCTTGTTGTTGACCATGTTTAGGCTAAAATCTCATTCGGCTTGAACTGATTACAGGAACCTTTGATACCTCAAAAGCATATCCCTGGTGACACTACATTTGAGTAAACATAACTCAAATGCAGAATTTGTGGCCCTTATTTACCATCCTACTTTTCTGTTTAATGTATTTCTAAGTGCTGCCCCCAACCACCTTAAACATTCAAACCATTACTTGATTTAAAGAGTCCTAAGAAGACTAAGTTTTCATGCGTTGTTAGTTGTAGAAAAATACCCCCCACCAAACTCAAATTTGAAGCTGCACCTTGATATCTCTTTTTTCTGTTAGACTTATCTGTAGTGTTATGGACCCTTAAAGTAAGGTGACCTTATTGGTATCATATGTGTGTGACCGATTCTTATGAGAAGTGAAACTTTCTGGTGTCAGTATAATAAAGGGTGAGTATGTACGTCAAACACATCGAAGCTCATGCTTTCCATCTGTTGTTCAGTCACTGTAGTCTTGCAGAAAGAGTCCAGAAAACCTGGGTTTCAGAGGACTGTGTATTGTTTCTGATACACTGCACCTGTTATGTGCAACCTTACTTACAAGTATTATCACCATTATTTACTCCTTAATGAGTACGACAGTTAGCATTGAAAACAGCAAATTAAGAGGACTTAAAGTGGAAAGGTAAGCTAGCCTATCTTTGGTGAGAGCAAGGTTTGAGTAGATAATGTTCTGTGTTAAAACACATTAGCAAAAAACATTGCTCTCTCTGCTAGTTATTTCTCAAACTTCAATTTTGAGAAATTAAGCCAATGTGGAAGTGCAAACATGTAGGACCTGAATTGGCATCTTTAGCTCAATTCTGAATTGGTACATCTAATTTACTTTGATTAAGCCTAAGAGTTATACATACATTTGGTGACCGCCATCTTGGAGCTTCAAAACAGGTGACATCATTGAGACTATGTCAGTGTTTTATGTCTATGGTAACGATACTCAGAATCATTACTGCTCCTTCTGTTAGCACTGTGGCTAACTGGATGATCATTTGATGTACTCAAGTTTTAAAGGAGAGGGGAACTTTACAGTTTTAAATTCTATGTAATATAGCACAGTGTCAATCATTTTCTCATCCCTAAAATCTAATTATTAAAGCGATTAACTTCATGACAAAACATGTGACAAGTGAATTTATTGCCTTAATCAATGAACTCTTGTAAACTCTGAAAATCTTTAGATGGTGATAGTCTTTGAATCTTTCCACGGAAGTGAAACTCAGACTGTACAGCAGACTATCAAACTGAAAGCAGGTTACTTGATTTGTGATTTGATAAAGAACACGTGTGTTCAATCATCAGACCTTCCCACGGAAGAAGGGTAAAGGTCGTCACATATACAGTAAAGTTTGCAGCATGGTGTGTGTACTAATGGAAAGTGGTCAGCTGTTTACGGCAACACAGCTGCAATAGTTTTATGAAGTAGATTTTAAAAATGTAAATGACAGACTGCTCCCCCTTTGATTCATTTCACTCCTCTGTCATCCAATGCCAATACAACATTTTTCCCCACTAGCTAATGCTGTAACATTTTCGTGGGGGTTGTGTGAGGCTCGTTTGCGCTATGGAAAAAGTGAAAAAAGTGAAATGTTTTTGCTTGTGCGTCTTGTCTGTGGTCTGAGTGTGTGCTCAGCTCTGCACCTGATGAGGGTGATTTGCACATGTTCGCGCCGTCTGCCAGATAAAAAGTGCTGAAGTTGGAGACATGCAAAACGCTGATTCGCAGAAATACAATGAGGGCAGAGTTCAAGATTCATCATGGGAATGAGCAGCATGCTTTCATTACATGTCTCTCACACAGAAGACAAGAACTGAAACAGTCAAACTAAGCCAAGCTTAACAGCCCAGCATGTAAAGTGTTGATGTAAATCTAACTGTCTAATTAGTCCTTTTCACAGGCCAGGAAGGGTTTTTAATCACCCCACCCCCTCACCCAAGATGCACATGTGTGACTGAACAGGCTTTGTAGTTCACAGGGTCTTTAAAAGGTTAGAGGGTCAGCCACTGGTCAGCTCATGGTCACAAATGATCCTGAGAACAAGAGAGGAAAAAGTACTGGGGGAGAGTGATAGAAGACGCTTTGTGCCCAAACCAGCTCAGGAGGAAGTTGTTAAACTGGATTCTCTTAAAGTCTGACCACTAGACAACTGGATGGCAGACCAAGCCCACCAACATGGAAATACTTCAACTGGGAAATGTATTGACTGGATGAAATATAGTGTTTAAAGAAATGAACAGAACACTACCTGTAGGACAGTAGGAAACATGTTTAAGAAGTTTTACTGTAAATGTCAACGTTAGTTCTGGAAATTAAAAATGAAAGAAACTCAAGATAACCTTTCCATTTGATTAATGTAACTAGTGATGATATGCAAAAAAGGGACATTTTGCAACATGGGTGTTATTAAAAATGCATGAGAGATACATGAGAAGAGGAAATCTTGAAATGTGTTAAATGAATCAAACCAAAGACGTGTGAAGACTGCCTCTGCTCTTTAAACTGACTTGCTTTCATTTTCTCCACACACTGCATTACATAAAGCAAGACGTCCCTGCTTTTACAAAAGCAAACATCTTGGTTTGTGATAGACTAACTGTCGGAAAATACTCTTCAGACTTCAATGGAAACCACGGCTAATTTCTTAGAGCAACATTTCCAAAGAGCTGAAATGAAAAAAAATAATAAGATTCAAACGAAATGGGGAAAAAGTTGCACAATTTTTTTTTGTAGCATTACCAAATCTATTAAAGTGAAATGCATGTCTTGAGTGTTTATGTCAAGTATGACATTTGAATGTGTCTCTCTGACATCTGGGAGTTTTAATGGAGAGTTCTTAACAGCTGTTTGACATTTTACAGGCTTAAAAATGAACCTTTTATAATTATATTCATGAGATGTTCTTCTCAATGTTGAACATTTTCCGTCCTACATAATCAACAGTACACTTAGAGTTATCCTTAGTGGTATTATAAAAATGAAATTACAAATTTAGTCACAAAACAAGCACTTGAGAGCAGCCAAAGGCAAAAGCTTCAAATTTCATGCAGTCGGCTGCAAGTTGATGTTAAAACAACAGGATTTCTGCGAGCCCCTGATGAACTTTTGAGACTCTCTACAGGACTTAAATATGTCTGACAATTATTTACACACTGAGCAAACACATTTTGGGAGCTGTTATGCTGAAACAAGAAACCAGCTGTGGAGCTTTAAACAATCTTGCCACTGAAAGTTAAGACATCGACAATAAAGAAGTGCACAGAGTTGTGAAAAAATACTTTGATACGATTTCAATTCTCTGATTGAAAAATCACAGTGCAGTGCCATAAAATACATCCAAACATAAATACACTTTAGGCCAGCCCCATGGCCAAACTAAGGCTATCCTAACCATGTCAAAGTTACCAACTTGTAAACTAATGTAGAACTGAAAGTGTGTCCACACTGCAGGCACAGCAATCTGCCACTGCCACGCACTGATAACCGAAGAACAGTAACAACCATGATGACAAATTCCAACTGTTATCAGGACAGCTGGTGCCCTAGCAAACGAGTCCAGTTTGGAGGTACTTTTCCATTTCCAGCATACGAGCTCAACAAGGCTGCAGCTGCTTGATTGACCCACAAACAAAATGATGTCACTCGAGCCCTTCCATGTCATGGTGTATTGATTTCTAATATGGAGGTAGATAGCTCTTCAAACAGGAGATTTCACTGTGTATTACGCTGCAGTGTTGGGGGAAACAATCACTCACTCTCAAATTAGCAAAAAAGAAAGAAAGAAATGAATCTGATGCTAACAACTTAATTCCATTTTACAACCTTTTCTGGATTTGATAGAGGCATAAAAAAGTCAAATGCTGTTAAATTCCCAGACAATGACAGAATTCAAACATCTTGCAGTTCTGTAATGCAGAGCATTCGACACCGTTAACAGATTAGTG